ACAGTGGAAGGCAGCATATTCCACCGGTCAGCAGCGAGATAGCCAATCCGAGAAAAGCCAGCCGTACTCTGTGCTGGGGGTAATGCCAAAGAAAAAGACACCTGGGATCTCGTAGTGGCAGTGGTGTGAGAGCTACAGCAGCGGCTGGTAAAGATTTCTTGAAGCAAAGAGCTGCATGTTCCGCTATGGATGCACCGGAACAAAAGAATGAACAATTTCAAATTGACGCGCACCGAAATATGATAAAGGCTGTAAAGGCTAAGAATGTGTGAAGCACTGGTAAACTTATCAAAACCAAATACTATTCTGAGGGATCTATTGAACAAACGGACATACTTATCATAGTTCATAGAACTTAGGGTAGTATATGCCTCCACTGATGAGCTCAGGAGGAGCGAAACAGCTGTCTGGAGCCGTGTAGGGTCATTGTCAATATCAATCTACATGTATATACCGGAATTGTCCTCGCTGTGGTGATGGTGATGAGAGTGCAGAGTTTGGATCGGCCAAGAGCGCAATGTGGTGGTGTGGAGTATTGGATTCTATAATGGCCGGGTCGTCGCTACTTCTTCTCAATAATAATAATAATCACATACCGGTATTATGATACGGGCAAAAGTACATAAGAAAACATTGTAGTATCCGAATGTTTGTTCTCACTATAAAAATTAATGCCACACTTGCCCTATGCCACACTTGCAAATATGGCAGAAGAAATCTGTATTACTGCGAGGAAGCCCTGCCCGTTTTGGGCATTGAGTACATGTACGACTCGTACTCGTCCTTGCAAAATAAGGTGAGGCCAATCCCTCTACTATGAGTATGAGGAAACTCTGCCTTTTGGGCATTGAGTACTGTGTCAGCATGAAGAGGACTACACTGTATACATGTACGTATACAACTATAATTATGGTCGCAGTGTGAGCGCGCCCTATAAGGCTGTCATCACACCATGGTACAAAGCGCTGCGTCTACGTCCACGTAAGGAGTTTTTGGTCGGTTGTCATGATGATCCGTATACGGGGTGAAAACGGGAGCAGAGGAAACGGGAGACGTAGACGTGGTATGGAGAGTAGGCCTCGACGGATAATGCTAGTTATTTTCGGCAATAATGCTACTAGCACTGCTAGTAAAAGTGGCACATTATGCTAGTTTTAATGCTCGTTATGCTCGTTATGCTCAATTTAATGCCACTTTATATGGGGTCAAAAATACTCTGTTACCACCCTAACAGCAACACCATTAACAGCTGCACAGTCTCGGACCAAGGCAAGAACGTGTGGCTTGGAACTTGCAGCTGTGTTGACAAAACTGTGATGAGCTCTCGAGCTAGTTCGGTACCAGCTAGGCTTTTGGACAGTACAGAGAAACGTACAAGGCGTTGGTGTGTGTTAAAATCGCCATCGACGTAGCGGAGGACAACAGCAAGTGCCTCACCAAGGCGTGAAGTACCATCGAAATTAACGGTGAGATGAGCTGCAGATGCAATCTCCTTCTTGATGGTAGACTGCTCATTCTGCAACAGGAATGGCACCAAATGTGCCATGTGAGTGCTGTACGTCATGCGACAGTAGTTCAAGTGCTTTCAAGCAACGGACGAAGGTGGTCTATCTTACTCAGAGGCACCCTGCTTTGAGGAAGACTCTACAACGTTGGCTCTTCGAATGTGGACATCATTGGCTACATCACCAGATAGCCCTGTTCCTGCCAGCTCCTTCTTATGGTTCTGTAGTGTACTTCTCCCACGAAGCTGTTAGCGCTTGCTGGTGTAGCTGGGCTCGTGACTTTCGCTCTTGGGCCGTCTTGTGATTCGGCTCGAAATGTGTGATTTCACAATGCTGTTCTTCGGTTGAACTGTCTGGCTGCAAGCACTGCAGTAAATCTTCCCACTGGACACGGTCAAATATTCCCCTGGAAATTGCTGCACGCGATGGTGGACGCTGCCACGAGGTGTCAATGTGGAACTTCCACCGGCAATTCACCCACGCTTAGCGACGGACTCTTTCCCACTTCTCTGGAAAGATCGTTTTCGGGAAATCGCTACTCTGGCTGGTTCGGGAAGACGTTCACACGCTCTCCTGACCTCGTCCTCTTCGGACTCTGATTCTGAGGCGTCTTCATCGTCAAACTCGGAATCAAAGTGATCATCGCTACTGCTTACTAGATCAACAATGTCTCTGGCTGCTTGCTCGGACATAGCCATGACGTGTGTTCTTCATCAGCTAACGAAGAATAAGCGGCAAACGTTGGTGGAAACAAAACGCTCCCATTCTCACCGCCTTCTCATGTACACCCATCACAAGGTTTTTTTTCCCAACGCTCATGCCCAGACTCCCAGCCAGAGTCATAGATCAACTACAAAGTACAAGTATTAGTTCAAGTAGTAGAGGGCTAGACATTATTGAAGATTTGAAGACATGAAGTGCAGTGAACCAGTGTTTTCGGATGCGAACACAGTTGAAAATCCCATGTTTTTGCAACAATATGCTAGTTTTCGCAAGAATATGCTAGTTTTCTGCAAAACCTGCTGATTATGCTAGTGCAATGCTAGTTTCCAGAAAGTGCTAAATATGCTAGATATAATGCTAGCATTCTCCGCCGGGGCCTAATGGCCATAGGGCGCCCTCACACTGCGACCATGATCACAAAAAGTCGCGACTCTGGAAAGTCGCGACTTTTTGTATGAACGTGCGCGCGCGTATCTCCCCCAGCCTTTTTCCGAGCTAGCGACCGCGACCGGCCCTGTACTAGGCCTTGGCGGATAATGCTCGAAAAGGTGGCAGATTCTGCTTTTTTTGCACCGAAATTGGCAGAACCATACAAACCTTATGGCGGGCAATTCCTCGAATTCTGCTCCATTTCTTTATCCACATACCAAACATGCATGAAACTTACCAGAAAAGGTACCAAATTCTGCCAATTTTTCTGCCGGCATTATCCGCCAAGCCCTACCCTGTACATGTACTTATTATTATTATTATTATTAACTTTTATTTTACTAGGGTGTTTCCCACAGACCTATGGTCTTCTTACGGGAGCCCCTAGGAAGGTTATGCATGAGCGAATAAATGAGCGGTAATCGGTACAAGTACTTCGATGTACGTGGGTTCAAATTTCTCCAAAAACCTGACTGCGTGTACGCGTCAAGAACTGTGCCTGTCTGATGACACGACCACCCGGTTTGGGTTTTTCACCATAGACGTAGACGTAAACGGGAGTCGGAGAACGTGGTGGGATGACGGCCAAGTAAAGTGAGAGAGATTATTGATTCAGTCACGGCTTTCCACTGATGATTGTGACAAGAAAATCGATTTTGGTAAACCTTCATGACTTTGTTGTAGTGTGGCGATGACAGCAGAATTTGTTCTCTTTATAGCTATTATAAAATTGTTGTCTCCGCGTCGATTATTTAAATAATAATAATAATGTACATAATAATGTGGCCTGGCCTGCGCGACACATGATGCAAGGACGGCATTAATGTTTTTGACCGCAATCTAGCTGCACATGTTTCTGTCCCTTTGGAAAAACGCGGCCAAGAATTTAAAATTCTGCGGCAAATTCCGCGGGGAAAAGAGGGGTTTTCCGGGGCATTTTCTAAAATCTGCGGCACTTTCTGCAAGTTTTTCACCCTCCTCGTACAAGTAGAGGATATGACAACTAGTCGCATGAAGGAGCACTTTCATACTATCCTTTGCAGTCACAAACTGAATAAGGCGGTGTTTACATGAGGCGTTTCAACCCGGGTTGAGTTCGACCCGGGTCAGCTTTCAACCCGCCATGTGCATAAAATGAATGGCGCGTTTACATGACGCATTGCGCTTGACCCGGGTTGATTTCAACCCTCCCCCCAAGGGGAGGGTTGAAATCAACCCGGGTCAAGAAAATCGTACAAACGTACTTCTGTGCGTATCTCGCGCCAGGTTTGAACGGCACTGCAGATGCAAATTTCGCGCGAACGGATTCACGTGACCATACAGGACTGTAGAAGTGGACTTTTGGCGGCATATCAGTATTTGACCCGGGTCAACTGTCTTCATGTAAACGCTCACCTCTTTTGTCTATCGTACAGACTTTCAACCCGGGCTGAACTCGACCCGGGTTGAAATTTCTCATGTATACACAGCCTAAGAGTGAAGAATCTTGGAGAGACCTGCACTGGCAAGAGAAATGTGCTCAAACAGATCGCAAAGTGGTTTTCTGCTGCTTTCTGAGTAGTAATTTTAGTAATTTACCCTAAAAAATTCAGATTCCGCGGGCAAAAGTGTGGATTCCGTGATTTCCGCGGATGATGGCAACTGCTGCAAAATTTGCCGCGGCCGCGGAATCGCGTTTTTCCAAGGGGACAGATGTTTGCATGAAGGTATCAGCGCTACTAATGCAATGTTTACTACAAGCAGGGCTCATGGCGCCTAATCTCTATATTAGGAAGCAGTTCCTTTCATGGCACGAAAGGACTCCAGCGCGCGTACTAAGCCTCAGCCAAGGTACAGTACTAACCGAGTATGCAAGATAGAACAGGCGGTGCGGCGGAGCAAACATACCACATATGGAAGAGGCGAAATCCCCGGATGCCGCCTGGTCCACAATGACAGACACCACCATGCTTATATTATATTTAAATACTTTAAACAAATGAGTAACTAAAACTAACTAACTTTAAACAAAGCACATGCATATGCGGGAGTCATAAGAAAACAAAATGAAAATAGAAGAGAAAATCCAACGACAAAAAAAGGTTACAAACTATGGAACATTATAATACAAGTGCAAAAAATCAAAGCAAACAAGGGTGGCAGATGAGCGTGACAGGCACCACTAACAGTTATTTGATGCCGGTAACAGCACTGCTGCACGGTCGGTGCATGTACGAACAGGAAGCTGGACGCACACACATGTACCGACATACCGCCTCTGGGCCATCCCTCAAATAAAGACAATAATAATTATATCCAACACGAAGCCGGCATCAACGTCCTAATACGAGAACGGCACGGCGCTTAGATGTTGACGAATAGACAGACAAGAAAGACGAGCATAGCTATAGCGCTGCCTGCGTTCGATTCATGGTGAAGTCCTGGAGCAGCACCGGTCTGTGGACAGGTCTCGTACGGGCTCTGGCCCCTAAAATTGCCGCCCACGCCGTAATTGCATGTAACCAGGTAGGCGTGTGGAAACCGCGTGGGGTTGAAATTCTGGCCCGGCAAGTTGGCGGTCTTGCACATCGTAGCACCGCAGCCGACTTGGGTTGTGCCGTTCCACACCAGCTGGGTGTAATGGCCGCACATCTTGCCAGGGGTGCACACGAGTGTGGCCAGGTCATAGTCCACTTTCTCGCTATCCCAAGCAGTAACGCTGGCGACGGGATCTGAACTAGCAGGTGAGTGGGAGACGCTTAGGTAAAGATTCTCGCCCACATACCTGAAAGCTCCGCCGGCGTCGGTCGTTCTGTTGGCATTATGTTCGTAGATGCATCGATCGCTGTACGCCTGTGCAACCCTTGCCAGGGCGGGGCTGTATGTTAGGTTTGTCAGCTGGGTGCAAGGCGTGGGTGATGCTGTAGCCCTGGCATTGTTGTGAGCAGCCAGCATTGCTGCCTCCTGAGCGGGTGTGAGCTTGGCCTGTGCTCTCTGCAATCCCGTGCATAGCACCACCACGACCAGAGTGCACAGTAACAAAGGCGACTGCATCTTCTCCAGTACTGATGATCCTATTTCTCCTCGTCAGTTTAGAGGGCTCGGCTGTACGTGAGGGACACGGATGACGTGGCAGTGTATGGCGGAATCACCAGCGGGATTCACGGCAGAGAAGCTAGCAATCTGTGGAACAGCACCAAGGAACAGCGCCAAGCAGTGCTGCACGAAAATGTCCTTGGCCTGACGACGTGCAGAGGTGCTACAAGCCCTACAAGAGCTAGCTCCACAACAGAGATGTCTCACGGAATGGTCCAACAAGCTTAGACAAATACGTTTCTCTCTTGCCAACTCCACGTTGAGACTGACAAAGCGAAGTAGACCTACAGTGTAGGGTGAAGCAAACAGAAAGTACCGATATGTGAGATCTGCTTTGTTGTTCTGTCCAGAACTTCAGGACAGCAGTTCAGGACATTCGAAGCCGAAGGGCTTGTTCATCAAGATCAAGTCCACTGAGTACAGTGTACCCGCGATCACACACTGTACTCTGTAGTACCGTACAACCGCGCGCGGCTAGCTAGCCAAGTAGATCTACATGACGTGTATGTACGTGTACGTGTACCAGTGTACATGAAAACCTGAAATGAAAACCGGTTTTCGTGTACATGTACTCTCGCTTTTTTTCTTTTTTTTTGGCGTACTCAGGTGGGGAGGGGCGGATGCATCGATGGGCGAGTCCAAGGCGGTGTTTACATCAGGGAGTAGTACAATACCGGTACAGGTAGACTCCCTCTAATTCGAATACGGTATAATTCGAACATTCCGCGTAATTCGAACTTTTTCGTCGTACCGATCTTCTTCGCTATTTTGAAAGTAGTTTGAGGTCGGATGCAGATTTTGAAGCTCCTGTCGATGTGGAATTTTCCTGTGTAGCGGCCGTGCGCCTGTCGAACGTGCCTGATGCAGAGTAGTGGACGATGTTGCCGGTGCAACGGCAAATCCACCTGTGTCAGATGCGAATGCACCAAGGCTGGCCGCCATTGCACAAACTGCTATCCCTCGGCGAAGGATCGTTGCCAAAATCGAGCACCCGAGCCCCAAACGACAGTTGCTCCAGCCGCGCCTCCCGCGCCGCCACTGCCTGCCTTGCGCAGCCCCGTACTCGTAGGAGTTCAAACGGTACGTCACGTTCCCAAATCACCTGGGCCTGCTGGGGCACTGTCCCCGCGCCTGCCGACCAGAACAGCTGCAGGTACGAGTCGTACCGAAATTTCGAATTCCCAACAACATGCATGGGACCTGCTCGAGGATAGTTGTAATAGTAGTACTAATAGTACAACATGTAGTGTACCGACGATCGCACGGAGCCAGACAGCGAGGGCAGCCACGACGGAGGAACCTCCCCCTGCGGTGCTCGACGCTGTCCCTTCAGCACCCAGCGTTACCAGCTCGCAACAGCTAGCGTGGGATTTGCTAGAATCCGAGGCTGCCGAGCCTGGAACGGGTCGAAACCAGAGTTCCTGTACTTCCAGCACGGGTCATGAGGCTGAACACCTCACGGACGGACTACTCGCAGAGTGCCGCGCAGCAGTAGATGTAAATGCACCCGCTAGCAGCTTGCAGCTTGCATCGCTATCTGATGATGAAGCTGACCGCCAGGCAGCGCAACTCTTAGCTTCCATCGACTCCAGCCAGTCTCTTGCATCTCTACCAGGACAGCCTGACAACCAGGGTGACCATGACACTGATGTACGCACCTCCCAACATATCACCACGGATATACCTGCATACACCGAGTGGCCTCAAACTAATTTCACTCTTGGAACCACGACCGCGGAAGACTGTGCGACTGCCATTGACAACGCATACAACGAAGCGGTTCACTTTCGACCGAACGCCTTTGACGTACCCAGTGGCTCCGTCGGAAAGGAATTTGTTCAGCTACTCAGCCAATACCTCCTTGCATTTGGCAATGGCTCCTCATTCCGGTGTCAGGGATTTAAGGTAGCGATGCTCTTCCAGATGCTGCTACTCCAAAAACCTTTCCATGCCCCGCCATCAGCCTTTGCGAAGTGCCTCAAACGCCGTCTCGAACTCTGGCGAGCAGGTGCCATCTCTGATTTAATAGAAGAATGCCGTACCATACACAAACAGATCGAATCCCACCAGCGGCGACAGGACAAAGCTTGCGCTGGGCATGATGACACTGCCAGAAAGTTTGCATCCCTGATAACTGATGGCAAACTCAGGTCGGCCCTCGCACAACTGGAAGAGGACAACGGAGGCGGTGTTTTGAACCTGGACGATAGAGTCGATGGCGTAACTGTTCGGGATATTCTGGCTGCCAAGCACCCGCCGGCAGAACCCGCCCATCCGGACGCTATTGTTCAAGGGGTTTTACCTCCACGACCACATCCGGTCCGATTTGAGTCATTAACTGGAGATGTCGTCCGCCGCGTTGCCCTAAATACACATGGAGCAGCAGGCCCGTCGGGAGTGGACGCTGACACCTGGAGGCGCATGTGCACCGGATTTGGAGGTGCCTCTGGTGAGCTCTGTGAGGCAATGGCTACCTGTGCCCGCCGGCTGGCAACAACATTCGTCGATCCCGCGTCTCTGGAGGCATACCTTGCTTGCCGGCTTATACCTTTGGATAAGAATCCCGGGGTTCGGCCAATTGGCATTGGTGAAGTTCTCCGCCGTATACTTGGCAAAGCCATCCTGTCTATGATACGGGACGATATCCAAGAGGCTGCAGGCAGTCTGCAGGTCTGCGCTGGACATGAGAGTGGCATTGAGGCAGCCGTTCATGCCATGACGACTGTTTTCGACGATGACGACACAGAGGCGCTGTTGATGGCGGATGCTTCCAATGCGTTTAACCGTTTAAACCGCGAAGCATGTCTTCACAACATCCAGCACCTCTGCCCGGCTATGTCTGCTATCGTTATCAATACGTACCGGCACCCTGCCAACCTAATTGTCGGCGGAGAGGTGATACGGTCCCGTGAAGGTACAACGCAGGGAGACCCTATTGCGATGCCACTCTATGCTCTCGGTGTCCTACCCCTGCTGCGGTCTGTGGCGACTGAGGGGACGGTGCAGGCTTGGTTTGCTGATGACTCAAGTGCTGGTGGAAAGTTAGTGAAGGTACGGGCTTGGTGGGATGCGCTGACCACCAAAGGTCCCTTGTACGGATACCACCTGAACCCGAGTAAATCTGTTCTCCTCGTCAAACCGGCAGTCCTCGGGCTGGCGCAGGAGCTATTCAGGGACACTGGGGTGACCATTCGTGTGGATGGGTGTCGCTACCTAGGTGCTGCAATTGGTACTGCTGAGTTCCTACAATCCTATGTCGAGGGCAAAGTCCAATCCTGGATAGGCCAGCTGGAGCGCCTAACCGTCATTGCGTCATCTCAACCGCAGGCTGCCTTCTCGGCATTCACCAGTGGCTTGAAACACAAGTGGTCCTTTCTGTGCCGCACCATGTCCAACGCTGCTCCAAGCTTTGGGCCACTGGAGAGTGCTATCCGGGACAAACTGATCCCTGCGATCACCGGACGTCAGATCTGCGAGGAGGACCGCGCTGTGCTTGCCCTGCCCTGCCGTTACGGGGGCCTTGGTATCATTGACCCGACCCAGCTGGCCTCTCAGCATCAGTCATCGAAGCAAATCACCAGAACCCTGCAACAAAACATCATCCAGCAAGTGATGCCGCTTGGCGATGCTATCTGTGATGGACAAGCAGCCAAGAAGGCAGTTCAGACGTCAGCTCGCAACGCTCTCCGAACCCACGCTGCAACTGTATGCTCTTCACTGAGTGCAGACCAACAGCGCACAGTTGAGCTTGCAGCAGAAAAGGGAGCCTCAGGGTGGTTGACGTGCCGACCCCTGAAACGCCATGGCTTTGCTATGGCGAAGGCGGAGTTTCGGGATGGTTTACATCTCCGCTACAACTGGAGACTACCGCACATGCCGTCTGCGTGCTCTTGTGGGAGCCAGTTCACCATCGCCCATGCCTTGAGCTGTCCAACGGGTGGGTACCCCAGTATTCGCCACAATGAAATTCGAGATGTGACAGCTGGCCTTCTGAAGAGAGTAGCTACCAATGTCTCCGTTGAGCCGCACCTCGAGCCTCTGTCGGGTGAGCAGCTGTCTCTTCGCACTGCCATTCGTGCCGATGCTGCCAGATTGGACGTGGCCGCTAACGGGATATGGGGAGGACGATTTGAACGCACATATATTGATGTCAGGGTTTTCAACCCATTTGCGCCCTCAAATCGCTCCTCCTCCGTCTCCGCAGCCTACACCCGCCATGAGAAGGCAAAGAAGCGTTCGTACGAACAGCGCTTGCGTGATGTAGAGCATGCCTCGTTTGTCCCGGCCGTGTTCTCTACGACTGGCGGCATGAGCAAGTGTGCGTCAGCTCTGTACAAGAGAATTGCTGTGTTGCTTGCAGAGAAGACCGGTGAGTCCTACTCCCTCACCATGGCGTTCATCCGGTGTCGTCTTAGCGTAGCGCTAATACGGGCCAGTGTAATGTGTGTGCGTGGTAGCCGATCCATGTTTTCTGCCCATGCTCCTGTCGCGTCATCTGCAGCTGTGGTCGCTGCGGAGGCATCCATTATGGCTGACTGAATATTGTCATATAGACTGTTTTCACAGCCACACTAGCTCATTTTTACTACTTCGAAGTACTTATTATTTGCCATGGCGACCCCCGTAAGTCCAAATAGCTGGCCGGGCAGGGTTGGGCCTTTTTTCCTTTTTCTTTTTCTTACTCAGCTGGCTTGGCGCATCGACTGTAAATGAACCATGGAACCGATCTTCTTCAAGTCACTTCAAGTCAAAATCGAATGCATAATTCGAAGTACGAAAAGTGCGCCGGTTGGATAATTCGAACCCAGTCTTCGTACAGGAGAGCTGTTTACAGTACATTGGCTATGTCCTTTGAACGCTTATTTCGAAGTGAGATTGAGTTGCTATCCTTGTAATTCGAAGTTCATTCTTTTCTCCTTCTCTAGCCAAGAGTAGCTCAAAAATCGATCGATGGTCCG